TTTCATCTTAAATCAAATTGTGAATAATTTTATATTTAACAATCCACCACAGTCCTTGAGGTTTAACACCCTCAATATAGCCCTCTCCGACAAGGGTTTGTTTTATTGGAGTGGTCTTTTATTATTGACACACGTCAACGGTCCCCTCCGAATCTGAGCATAAGCCTCCACCCGAAATCCCAAAGTGCCCCAAATCAAAAATAAAACCATGGGTTTTGTAGCCACTTGTGTCCCCGTCACTTTTCTCTCCTACAACAAGTGAAGAATCAAGAGGAAATGAGATGAAAATGGAGGTTCTAAGCTTGGAGGAATAATGTCAATGAAGGGAGGAGAGAGAGAAAAGAAAAGAAAGGATGTGTTTGGTTTGGCACTTAGCCACCACTTATACACACACACATACAGTATCATCCATTCTCTCCACAACACATCTCACACACAATCCCCACCACACACTTTCTACTAACTATTCAAACCGGGCACCACAGTCCTAGTAAATGGACTATTGCCCTAATGTGATAAATATGTGTAACGACCCATACCCGGGATCTGAAACCTTAACCCAGTCATGACCCGACCCGAAACCACCCAAGGGTAAAATGGTCTATTTGACCAATATTGCGTAAACCTGTACAAATCTTTCCATTTGCCAAGTTGATCCGATCCATTCATTCATAGAGCTATTTACTCGATCGCAGACATTTCTGGAACACCTCTAACAGAGGGACAAATAGTCAATTTTGAAAGAACTTGTTGTCAATCTCTTTCAGATATGAATCAGATAGATTCAGAAGGGAAAAACTTACATCAGTATCTCAATTTCAATTCAAACTTAGGTTTGATTCATAGTCTATGTTCTGAGAAATATTTACCATCCGAAAAGAGGAAAAAACGGAGTCTTTGGCTAAAGAAATGCTTTGAGAAAGGACAGATGTATCCATAATAATGTTACAATTCAATTTGGATTACTTATAGGTGCAAGAATCGGCTTTAACCTTCAACCAGTCCAATTAGGGTTATAGGAGTAATTTGGTCATTTTGGACTGTACAATGCATTGGGGACCTTATAACTACCTTCTAAGTCATATACAAACATTTGGGGTCACTTTAATTTGAAAGGAAACAATTTGGTTCAAAGTTATCATTTTAGGGCTAAAAATGGTATATAAAAAAAAAATAAAAAATAAAAATAGAAATTGACATTTTAGACCATTCGACTCGTAACTGGGCGTAGTCATTGGGTCCCGTACATCCTAAAGGTTATGTAGGACCCGCACGAAGAGGCTCAGAGTGAACAAAGAAGGTAATATATATATATATATATATATATATATATATATATATATATAATGCCCATTGTAATAACGAGCGCTCATCCGCCCACCATGAGCACTCATGGGACATGGCAGGCTCACCCGCGCGCGTGTTCCGGCATGCCCCCGTGTCGGATGAGTGCTCGTCCGCCTAGGTCTAGCACTTGACCCTGCCCGGAAATGGGACTCCTTGCCCTTTTTACCCCGACACCTATTCCCGTTACACCTTTTGGTCATTTTGACCTTCAATACCCTATCCCAACCCACAAAAAGTATAAATTACCATTTTTCTGCATTAAACGTCAATATAAGCCTCATATGAATCATTAAAAAATTAAATCGTTCCAAACTAGTCATTACAAAGCTCCAATTTACATCAAAATGATACCCAAAAGAATATGATTACATGATCATGTGAGGGTACTTCTTCAATTATTTCCTTGTCGTGACCTGAAAAATAATAATAAGGGGTGAGCGCAATAACTCAGTAAGAAGTGCCTAAAACGCACTCCTTAATGATCTTGTGAATCACATGCAAAGAATGGGGTATAGAGGAGGGATCATGCATACTTTGGGAAAAATGGTTCACATACCCATCATCACACAAATCTGAATATAATCTACAAAATACAATGCGATGCTAATGCAATGCCAATGCAATTGCCAATGTCACTCCTCATTTTCCAAGATCCTTACCAAACACAACAACCGTCTAACCGTTAATGTAATCAGGCCCGAAGCGACTCCCTGACGCCACAAGAAAATGATTGGCTAACTATCCCAGACCTAAGGTAACTCCCTAGCGTCATTTGGGGCCTAGGAAGCTCAACCACATATAGGGCAGTCTCCCTACGTTTCCTCTAGGTTCTATTAACGCCACGGACACAAGATGACTCCTTGCCGTCCGATTTTCTCAAACTTTCATTTGAAAATAAACCCCCATTTTTTAAATCCATTTCCACGTTTCAAGAATACAACTTTCCCATTACTCCCACAATGCCAATGCATGAACATTTGAAGGATTTCAACATCATGCGAATATGAGAATTTATGTGTCAACTACAATCATACTAGCATGCTTTGGATACAATTAGTTCAACAATTCTCATATAATCAACCTCACAATCATGGCATTTTAAGCATGTAGAACATGTAGTAATATCAATCAAACATTTAACTTCCCAATAGCTCACGTAAGCATATAATTCAACACATTATATCACATAAAACATAATTATCATGCCTCACATTGATTAACCCTAATAGCCATGAACAATTTAACAAATTACACACACATAGCACATATACAATAGAAATAACTCACAAAAATCAAAGGTTATAGGTTTTAAAAACTCCTACCTCAATAATTGAGAAAAAGCCCTAATATTAGCTCCAATTTCAAAAATCTAAAAGTGGTCCAAATGAAAATCGGCTCCAATCAAATCGTAACCCGTGTTGTACTCGTTAACTTTGCCTTCAATGGCAAAGTCTAAATCATGAAGAAAGATGATGCATGAAACTTAAGCTTGAAAGTTGAAATAGAGAGAGAGAGAGAGAGAGAGAGTGAGTTTAGGGAGAGAGAACAGAGTTTAGGAAGAAGAAGAAGAAATGGGTCAATATTTGTATATCGGTCTTTATAATGCTTGGGTCAAAGTTGGGTCCATTTTGACCCCTAAAATGTCCATTTCGCCCCTTTTCCATATATATACACACAACACATGCTACAATGATAGAAGTAAAACACCCAACCACATAAATATGCTCCAAATAATGATATATGAAATGTGATAGACCCAAAAAATAATCCCGAGTGCAAAAAATCCGATGCAGGACCCACCCGAGACCTCTCAGTCCCAAAAATCGAAAAACGCCTAAATAACTTAAAATGCATTTCTAAGAGTTTTAAACTCAAAGTAATGTCCCAAATTACTCTCGGAACCTACGTGGTACGCAAAACGGGCAGAAAAAGAATTAAATCCAAAATTTTCCAAAAATACCGAAAAATGAAAATTTGAGAAATGTCACATATGCACACTCATGTATATGGAATGCGCCCCAAATGAAAAGTGTCAGAAACTATTTCTGAACACTTAACCTGATCTGGACCCACACGACCCAAACACGAAAATACACGGAAAAAAAAAAAAATAGAGAAAATGGAAAAAGAAATCTGGTCCTCACATATCGGTGGATATTGGCCAACCAGTCTTCCAATATTCAAAAATTCCGATTGTACGATTAGCGGCTCACTTGTGCCCAGCCGGCCATGCCCACATGATCACCTGACTTGAGAGTGAAGGGAAGCCATCCTATTTAACTCGCACTACCTTGGAGAAGTCCCCAAACTCTGGTGAACAGAGAACCTTTGCGAGGAGAGGAACAGAAAAATTCTGATGCAGAGAGAACTGATAAGAAATAGTACCCGCCAATTGGAGTGAGAAATATTGTTATTATGCACATTCATGTGCCATAGTTGATTGAAAATTGTGCTCAGCTAATGAAGCACAAAAGAAAAATGACTTCCTCATGTTCTTGTAGTATAAGCGATCCCCATGCAATCTCTTCCTTAATATTTTCATTTGTATTACAAGCTAGTTCTTATGTGAAGAAATTTTATTCAAAGAGTACACGAGTTTTTAATTTGGTTACATCAATTTTAACCGATCACCACAAACATGGTATGAATTGGTACTTTGAATTATTTCGACAAAAAATATTTTTCTTTTTCAGGTAAAATATTTTTTTATTTTTACTTTGTTGGTGTTTGGCAAACGTTTACGTCGAGCTCGAGATCGAGTCCATCGAGCGGGGCATATAAAATAACTTGCCGAAAATTGATGAATAATTTATTTTTGTTAAATTTTAATATATTTTTTTCTTCATAAATATTTTACGACAACCAAACACCAAAAAATAAAAAAAATATTTTTTGAAAAATATTTTATGTCCAAACAAATGAAGCCTAAATTTCTTTTCATTCCAAATCCAATCCCTAAATTCGCTCTTAAACATATCCATAATTTTAAAATATATTTTTTATTTCTAACACGGATCCGATACCGATCAAAATACTTTGACTGCGCATTTAATATTTCTCAAATAGTTTATAACACATTAAAATATAACTTTTTTAACAGGAATAACATAGTATAAATTATTAAGAAAAGTTCAAAATCTATTAAATGATGACCAGAGATGTTTGTTTTGTGTTGTGAAAAGAACTTTATTAAGTGATGACTAGGGATGTTTGTTTTGTGTTATGAAAAGAACAATTATATTATATTAATGATTGCATTTAGATTCATAATATTCCACGAAATTGATTTTTTTTTTTTTTTAAATGTATTATTTTGTACGCGCGCGCGTGCGTGAGTGCGCAATATCTCGTTGTACTCGTATCTTATTTTTAAGATTTGTCGTATCACCGTATTTGTATCATATCGTATGCACCCCATATCCGTGCTTCCTAGGTTACCAATCATAAATCATGTAACCCGTATCCGTGCTTGCCAGGTTACCAAGCATAAATCATATTACCGACTCCTTAGTGAGTTGATTAGATTAGACATACCAACAATCACTCTTTTACAGAGGAAAAAGAGAGATTACAAAAATCATCCACAAGAATGAATTTCCAATTACACGTACCAATGTATCATATATGCATAACCAAGCAAATGACTCACGATAAGTCACACCAATTTTTTCTCCATTTGTGTCATTTGAATAGAGAGGCAAGAATTTGCAATCACAATTCATTTGTACATCTCTAGTGTTCCTAATCTATTTACATATAAAACAGCATACAAATTGAAGAGGGGATCATCAAAACCCCAGCTAAGTACAAAACTCACAAATATTCCATTTTCAAACTAGTTAAGGCGATTCAAGGCTTATGTTGTGCCAAAATTGAAGTTCGAACCGCTTGGTGAGGAGATATAGCATTCCCATTCACAAGCATTTGCTCTAAGAAATCCACACGAACTGATCTGAACTGGTAACACTGGTTTAATGTACATGGAAAGAAGAGCAAAATTCACATATCAGTATAGGAAATAATTATTCCAAATTCAACAAAACAACGAGATATTATAATTGTAATTTACTTGTTCAAATAAAATAGTATGCCATGAAAAGGGTGGTTATCAAGTTCACAGAACAAATTTCCTTTCACCAGATCAAGCAAAGTTAAACCAAAGAAAGCAAGAATATCCAACATACATGAAATACCTTTCTTTTCCAAGAAAAATCAACATATCGGTAATAAGGCTCCAATAGTGTGACTTGATCTCCTTCTTTGATCTGCAAGATGTAATTAAATTTATATTAGTACGCAAATGGACAAAAGACAAGTTCAGTCAATTTGGTTCAACGGTCATTTCTTGAACCCGTCTGTGACCGTTCTCGTCCTATGAACTAGTTGCAACTTGCAAGGAACAAGAAAACAAGAATTAACATGTGAAAGACCATTAACTGAACCCAAAAAGTGACGCACAGACATCAATCGATGTCAAAGACCATCTCATTCTGGAATGAAACTAAAAACATGTCAATTCAGCACAACATCTTGTCGAGAGAAGACACACCAACAGTATCAATACCAGACTTTAAAAAAATTTAAAACAACAAAAAGTAAAAAGCAAAAAAAAAAAAAAAAAAGGAATCAATTTCATAGCAAGTTCAATACACTAATTGGATCAGAATTGGTGGCTAGGCCAGGCAATGGAATGATATACATCAAATGTAGGTTAGCCAACTAAATTGCTGGTAGGGAATAACGGTGACCTTATTGATTGATTTATTGAAGAATTCATAGTTAACAACCATGTATTTCCTTGTTCAATGAATGTTTGTACAAGTGTGGGTAATGTAAGATATTTGCCAATAGAAAAGTTTCTCTCCACCTCTGTTTTTCCACTATAAAGTTTATGGAGCAATTTTAGTAAGAGAACTGTTTCCGTCTCCTCTTGGGTGCAAACAAAACTGTTTCCTCATATTTCTAAGAAGATAATAAGGCTTTGCATGATGCTGCACAAGAGAATTCCTAAGGGGGGGAAAAAAAACTTTTATTTCTACACATGAGACAAGCAACAGTCAAGAAAATAACTTACTGCATCATTGTGTATCCCATACAAGGAGAGAACATAGCATATCTGATTTGAATCACACACCAAATAGTATCTGTAAAGTCACAACAGATGTTAATTGCAGTTCCACCTCAATAGTAAAATTTGAGAATGATGTTACCATCAGTGACATCTTCCCCGCCCCCATCCCACATTCACAACCAGCACCGCCACTACTGAACATGGAAAGACGAGACAGAGACAGACAGACAGAGAAAGACAGACACAGAGAGAGAAAACAATCATTTAAAATTTCCAATTTACAGATGCAGAAACGTCAATGTATATTAGTTTTAAAAACATAAAACCTTGAAGCTCCAAATATGTTCCCTCTACATTTGATACTTAAACTTGTCTGTTTCCCTCCACCACGCCAACGTCCATCTCATCTTTTTTCAACAGTTCAGCATACATATTTTGGGGGGCGGAAGGAAAAGTTGGTCTCCTCTGATTCCTTTTCCAATCTAAATTCAAACCTTCATTTTCTATTAATATTCAAGATTCATTATCCTCTTATATACAGCAGATCTGACAAAATTAACAGTAGTTTTTAATAGATTTTCGTTTTATTGGGTGTTTTACCACTTCTTTTCATCTCTTTCTACTGATCCATTGTTATTTGATCAGTGAAAGAAAAGTTCAAAAGAGAATCCAAAAAGATGCCATAGAGAGGGAAATTTGTGAGACAGAGAGAAAAAATAATAATAATAATAATAGAAAAAAATGTAGAGTGAGTCTAGATGGAATATAGAGAGTGAATTCTGAGAGAGCCAAGAGCGACAGGCCCAAAGGAGATAATAGCCAGCATCGGAAAAATGGAATGGGGTAGTAGAAGAAGAACCAGATGGAGAAACAACTGTTTTGAAGTCAAAAGCGGTTAGGTGCTTCAAGATTTTATCTTTTATTTAACCAATATGTTTATGTGTCAGCATTACATTGGATGCAGTTAAACTTGAGTTTTGCAGATATGGTATTAAATTTTAACTCTTGAAGAATTTTGTCAACAGATAATTGATTTAATGCCAATCTGTAACATGAACCCACATGAAAAAGAAAGATAAATGTGAAATAGATAAACCAAGATAGGGATTTTAACCACAGGAGCTTACAGGGGAGCGACATTCTCATGCTTAACAAAGAATAGAACCTTTCCCACAAGTGCAACTGTTTTGTTCAGACCCTCGGACAGACAATCAATAGTAGCTCTTTTGTATGAAGAACTCACTTGCAAAAAAGTGCAATCAAATTAATCAGCATACTAGAGTAAATTTTATAAGAAATGGTATTAACAGCACATGAAAGTACAGAGGCCATCAAATTAAAACATATAAAATAAATTGATCGGCTTACAACTAACAGAAGCTACTGCTGATGCCGAAGAAGCGAGCCGTTTCGCCTTAATTTGTCCCTACAATACAAATATTAATATCAACATCTCTGCAAAATACACACGCATATACTAACAGATTTTGTAAGATCCCACAGAGGATAATTGATGCAGTAGCGGCGGTTCTCCATCAATAACATATCCAATTTGGAGAAATATACAATTTTGACTTCAGAGTGAAATTATTATCATTTTTTTTTCTTTGTAATGAAAAAGCATTAAAGAGAGAATTTGATAACCCAAAAAACTCAAATATATATCTTTGAGAGGCTAATTATATTAATATAATGAAGCCATTTGTTGGAAGAGAAACTGAACATGACAATGTGATGTTCAAACTGGTCTTACAAATGGCAAATCAAGTATCTGAACTAAAAACCGTAATAAAGTGGATTCCGCACTTTTATTGACACCCACCTCTGCCAAGATGCAACATGATGAAGCCAATGCATTATCCTGAAGGATCCTTAGACAAATGACTAGCAACCCAGCAATAGGCATTTTCCTACCCTCCTCTGCCAAGATGCAACATGATGAAGCCAATGCATTATCCTGAAGGATCCTTAGACAAATGACTAGCAACCCAGCAATAGGCATTTTCCTACCCTCTTCCCCTCTGGTTCTTCGAAAATGCAAATGTAACTAAGCCATTCCTCACATTAGCTTTGACAAGTCCACCTCCAGTAAACAAGCTCAGGCAATTACACAAAGTTACTATTATGAATCTACTGCAATGCTAACAAACGCCCTGTTAAACTAGCAACTGACTTTCTCTCCCTAGCTCAGGAAGCAAAATGCATTGCATCTACTGCAATGCATTGCAAACGAAAAACTGGCAACTGACATTCAAGAAGTCATCAATCAAAATAAAAAATAAGTATACCTATTTTTTATTTCTTCCAATGGTTTTCTTCTCTATAAGAAGTAACATAGGAAATGAACCACAAGCTATGAGTAAAAAAGTTTCAGAATGAGCCATAGCACATCAATGATTTTTGCATGACTAGTTCTAATATATTGGAAGTAAACAGAAAATTTGTGCTTTTCAATCCTATTATGGATTAAACATCACTAGTTAACCACTCACATTGTGTTCTTACAAACATTATGGGTTATGACACCTAGAGTCATATTTCTATGTTTCTCTTGCAACAGAACTACAAATCTATCATCATTGAAAGTAAAAAATAAAAATAAAAAAGAAAATTGAAAGTATTTTATCAAATGAACAATTGTAAAATATAAGTTAGAAACCAAGGGTATTCTAATTACAAACTAAGAATAAGAAGTTTGAGAAAAAGAAAATATACTAATCTCTTGACCAAATGTTTAAATACAAAGAAAAGTGTGATCGTCAAATTTTTAACACTTTTAAAGTCAACCCTTTTTTTTAACTAATAATTTGGTTCAAGATATGTATATTTTGCTGTATTTACCATCAATATATTGATTATACTAAAATTTAATCTCCTATAAAAAAACATTGAGAGCATTTCTATATATCATTCGATAGTATTTTTTTCCTTTGTCCTATCATGAAATTCAATTTTAAGTGAGTGAGTGTGTGTGTGTGTGAGATTATTTGGTTCTCAAAACTTTCTATATTGCTTTAGCATGCTGAATTCCATTCTAAGAAATGGCACCCATGTCCATATCCTTACAATATGAGAGCATGGTTTTGGACACAGAAAGTACATGATGAAGACCAACCCAACGTCCATTTCATTATTACAAAAATCAATGCCAAAACTTTTGAAACTTCACGTGTGCATTCATAATGACTGCTTTTGTAAAAATTACATTATGCTACTAAACCAACAACCTATATGTATGTGGATTCTTTTATCCTCTTCTGGTCTAATCAAGGTACAAACCACAGAATGTACACATATCACATATGCCATTAAAACAAGAACACACAGAGATCAGAGCAATACGGTGGCAAGTTTAACTACTTGGTTTGCAGATAGAAACTATATTGGCTAGGTAAAAAGAGGGTAATGCATTACCTTCAACAAGTTCTCTAACTTCTCAAGAAGATTGACTATCTTCTGAACCTCCTCAGTTGCATTTAGACCAGGATCCTTTAAAGCAGCAGCTTCAAATCCACTAAGGGCCCTCTCATAGTTCTCTAGATATTTGTTTACCTGTGGGGGCAAAAAAAATCCACTTACAGTACAATACATAATTATATACTTAATCAGCTGATAGTAAGATGTGGATAGGCAAGATTACTATTGTTCATTTAATAGTTCACTACAAACAATTAAAAAGATAAGTGATTTACAAAAGGACAAAAAAGAACACAATCTAAAAAATGATTTTACAAAGTTCTTAGAAAATACTACATGCGAAAATACTACATGCACAGTAACCCATTTCAACTGCTTGATTTTAATGGTATTTCAAATTCAAATTTCTTAAAACTGCTAAGGTATTCAAAATTTTTAATTTTAAATTTTCTACTTAGAACAAATTGATAATAATATTTGTTTCTACGAAAGTTTATTATTCGCAAGGTCATCACTGATCACAAATGTAGAAGTCACCATATTGAGAGGAGGTTGGTGCTCTTCCGAGGTGAGACTTCCAAGCGGAGTTGGGGCCTGGAAACTTATTCGGAAGGGGTGGGATGAATTCTCCAAACATGTTAGGTTCCGAGTTCGGGATGGTAGGGGAATCCGCTTTTGGAAGGACATTTGGTGTGGTAATCGTTCACTTGCGCTCACTTTCCCTAAACTTTTCCGGATTGCTTCACATCGTCAGGCTATGGTGGTCGACTGCTATCGCCTTGATAGTGGGAGAACATTATTGGATGTTCATTTGTTGAGGCATTTTCAGGATTGGGAGAATGGAGATTGAGGATGATATTGGCTTTTTGGAGCTTTTGTATCGCCAGGATATAATGGGTTAAGTTTCTGACTCTTAGGTGTGGCTTCCCCATTCCCCCCCCCCCCCTTTCCTTTTTTCCGTGGAGAACTATTTGGTGCTTGAAGGCTCCTCTCAAAGTGGCATTTTTTGCATGGACATCCATCTTAGGGAAGATTTTGACTCGAGATAACCTAAGAAGAAGGAGACAGATTGCGGTTAATTGGTGCTTTACATGCAAGAGTGATGAGGAAACGTTTTATCACCTTCTTTTGCATTGTCCAATGGCGCGGGATTGTTGGATTTTGATGCCAGGGTTTGTTCAGATTTCAGTGGGTAATGCCGAGGTCTTCCAGATGTTCGATTGAGGCTTGTAAAGGTTGTTCACTGGGGGTTCAAGTCCGTGATTTCTGCAGGGTTACACCTCTATGTGTTTGGTGGTGCATTTGGCTTGAGAGAAATAGGAGATGTTTCGAAGGAAAGGAAAATCCTATTGGGTCTTGAAATTCTCCATTATTGGCACCCTTTTTTGTTGGGTTCTTGGGAGAAATTATAAATCCATAGAGAAGTTTGTTGATATTTTGGGTTCTTTGAGGGTTTAGAGGCCCCTTTTTGGCCTTTTTGTAGCTTTTGAGGGACGCGTTCCCCTTTCGAATGCTTTTTAGTACATTATTTACTTATCAAAAAAAAAATATTCCAATCTGCCCCAGAGAACCTGACATTAATCAACTTATAGTCAATGAAATCAAACAAGAACTTCATTAAATTGACCATTTTGTTGAAATGTTGAACTTCACATGACAACCAATTGGGTTAAACCATTAAAGGCAATCTAATGTTATAGGCTAATGAGCTTCCTACACCCAATGAATACCATAATACGAGTAGAGTCTGAAGGATACTTACGAAGCTTAAAATAATTTTAAGAAACATTGATAGAGTAAAACATTGCAAAAGAAATTAGTTCTGCCTTTGCCTTTTAGTTTTTGCTAGTCAAAAATCTTTTGGTTAAATAGGAGATCCTTCGATGGCATGGACACTCCTATTGGAGCGCTTAAGTTCTCTATTCTTTCTTCTCTTTTCGTTGGGTTTTGGGGAGAAATGTAAATCCATGGAGGAGATTGTTGATTTTTGAACTCTTTGAGAGTTTAGTGGCTTTATAGTCTTGTGTAGTTCCTTGGGATGTGTTCCCCTTTTGAATGCTTTTTAATACATTTTTACTTATCAATATATATATATACATATCTTTTGGTTAAGTTTAAAACTTGGAATATAATACTTAGCTTAGCAATATCTCAATTTGACAGCTTTGATCCTAGCCTTTTGAGAGTTAACACATGAATCCTTTCTTGCCATCCCACTATTTCCATGACCATATTCTTTATTAGAGATCCTGCAACATTGGGGTACCCTCACTGCCTTTGTTTTCCCCTTTGTACCTAGAGTGCCTTCAATTGAACCATGATGCTCCAAAGTCCTTACCAGCGGAAAAATTAGTCTGTCTTGTCCTTGTTCATCTCAACGTCCTCATTATAGCAGTGCCTATTATATGCACAAGTTGTTTCTTGGACTTAGAAGTCATGGTACCATACACCACCAAGCATCATCAATTTCATACTACCCCACACCATCAAGCATGTTAATCACACACTCCAAAAGAACCTCTCATCACCCATCTGGCTATTATATAAGTAATATTCCTTTCAGTCTGTCCATCCAAGTCGTGACCAACCAAGATAACCACTGGTTTGTAATACCCAATCAAACTTGCTTCTCCTAGATATATAAAATGTACACTTCCATATATTCCGCCCTAGCAGTTATCCACACTTAAGTCTTCAACTATTAATTTGAGCAAGAAAAACCGTAACCCATAACAAATAAAAACAGTCAATTGGTTCATGTATTAAATAATGGAAGTATCAGAAACCAATAGACTGGGAAGAAAGAGTGGACATTCATCTACTTGAGGGAGTTCTATTGAAAATTTATGGTGGAATCAGTGGAGGAAAATCTTTGAGTAATTGATGTTGTTTCCTATTATTGAAGATTAACTGTTACTAGAGGAATCAGTGGAGAAAAATCATCCTTGCTTCCTATTTTCTATCTCTTTCCATTCTCATCATTTTTTCTCCTATATAAAGGAGCCTCCACCATTGTATTGGGTATCAGTAGAGAGAATATTATAAAAGTGATGTAGCATTTTGGGCACTTTGTGCCGTGGATGTAGGCCCAAGCGGCTGAACCACGTAATATCTTTGTTCTTCTTGTTTTATTTCTCTCTTCACTTCTATTTCATTGTTTACAAGAAGTTCCCATCAACGTAAGAATACATGAATTTCTCACACAATTGTAAGAAAGGAAGTTAAGAGAAGAGAGAGGAAGAAAAAATACACAATTTTTTTTTTTTTTTTCTGATAAGTAAAAAATACATAACTTACAGTAGCACAGTTGAAGTATAGGTCTGGATTTGACTTCATTTTTCCATCCTTCTCCTGACATGTGCCATAAAAAATAAAAATAGATCCAAACTTCTAATATCAGGAATAATCACTACGAAATAGCTAAGAAGTTATCTTAGTACAAGAATGTCAGAAAAATCTTGATTGGTGTAAGAACCAGCCCATAGTCATGAGATGATTTAGAAATGGATTAATAGGGAAAATTATTGCTCACACGTACAGCATTTTGATATGCTTTCAGTGACTGCAGAAGTTTGCTGTGATCCCATGATCCAGTCACAAAAAAACTTGTGAGGCATGCATTTCCTAGGTTGTCTGTGAATGAGATAAGAAAGCTAAGATCGACGATGCAGGATTTACAACAATATGTGTGTGAGTATGTGTGCGTGTGTGTGCATGTCAAAAGTAGGGATGTGAGTCTCAAAAAAAGAAAGAGTTAAACGTAGAATGAACAAGGATCTTATAAAAACTCAAGCAAAGTAGAATTACCACGTAGATTTGCACACCTGTGTACAACTGTATATGCATACACATGTATTTATGCAAATTTATAAATAATATACGGAGCCTGAAACAGTTTGAAGGTGTGTTTTTGCTAAATTGTATTTAAATAAAGCCTTACACCAAGAATTCCCATCTTTGATATCCAGAGTAATGGCTTCCCTTGCATGTTGAATGCTTTCTTCAACACGTTCTGCCTTGTTCTCGGCACCTAGAAAAGGGGAAAAAAATCATCAGGTAAACAAAAGAATGCATGCATATTATAGGTCCAGCTACCACCTTTGACTTAAAAACATGGCTCCTACGTGCCAGGATATTTGGTGCGGAGTTGTTTCTCTTACTTCCATTTTTCTTGTTTCCACTTTATTTATTTATTTGTGGAGAGGACATTGTTTAGTTCAGTTGTCAAAACTTGGGCTATCAAGTAGTACAACATATTTTCATGTCTGAGGGCAGTCAATTTGAGCAAATAAAGTCAAAAATTCGGTTTGTACTCAATCCATCGATCCCACACTCTAGGTAATGGCTTTTTTTCCTTGGGTGTGGTAGAGTGTTGGTGAGGGATGGGTAGATAAAGGGGTTGATAAAACTTAAAACAAGAATTTTTTATTTTCCACAAATTAAGGTACAGCTACTCAAGGATTGAAGATCCATGAATGTTCTTCCCACCTCAGACTAAAATACCAAGTATTGGAATAAAAGGTTCAAAATGAGTCCAGATTAAGCTTTGGCCAGGCTGCACAAGATATTCTGTAGAAGATTTCATTTGAGACCGTGCTTACAGCTGCCTCATATCAAACATCTGCTTACATAAGGATGACATAGATGCATCATAATCTATTTGCCTTCCCTCATATAAAAGAGTTATGCAATGTGTATGTTTACAAGGCATGTCCTCATATATATGGTTAACAAACTTTTCTTTTCCAGTTGATCCAAATGAAAGGCAGTCACTGTGCATTACTTTGTTACTTCTTGAATTTCTGCAGTTTCACTCGAGCAAATATAAAAAAAATAAAATAAAAAAAGTGGTTCCATATTGCAATTTTGTAGAAAGAAAGTTACGAGCTGGTCTACGTTACAACAGGAAATATAGCTGACAAGTGACAGCAAGATTAAGGCAAGTCATGAACACAAAACCTCGGCAAAATTTATCATCTCCACTCTCCAAGCCTATTGCCACTAAACTAGAGGCATCAGGGAAAACAGGTAAAAATCAAACAAACAAGGCCCGGAGATTCAGATTCTCGAAATCAGGAAGGCAAAAAAATAAGGTTAGGGAGAGAGAGACCAGTAACAGCCTTTTTAGAGAGAATTCTTATGACAGGTAAAGGTTGGCATCAAAATAAGTGTCGTTGTTTACACTAAATTGAGTTGGATAATCTCCAATTAATTTTCACAATTTTCTCGTGAAAAAAGCTTTAGTAATATGTTAAAGTGACCTTAGTTCATATAATTATGAAACTAAGCCACGGGTTCTTTCACAAGGCTAATGGGTGTAGCGAACTTAGGGTAAGGAATGAACTTCAAAAAGAATAACACTAATTATAATAGTAATAAAAGAGATCAGGTATGACAGTTTTTTCTTATAGGAACTGAAAATGATGTTCCAAGGAGGTAAATTGAGGGTTATTGATTAAGGAAAATTAAGATACGATAAAGAAAGGTTGTGGGAAGAAGAGATTTATATAAGTTCTAGTTAAATAAAATAAGAAAACAAAAATTGGATGCACAATGCAAAAGAACTTTCATACTCTCAACGTATTTTCTTTTGTGGACAGAATTCCAAATATAGCAACTCTTGATGCATTTCTAATTTAAATTAGCGCAGAATGACAAACAAGTTTCTCTTGCAACTGTTGGAGCCAGCACCTCCACTTTCCAAGTGAAGTTGGACGTTTACAGGCAAAAAGAATCATCCCAAACCACCTTCTACAAGCTATCAACTAAGCATCTTACTAAATATTTTGTTAGCGTGAAATCTCAAATAGACAAATGTTCCATTCAATATTCGACTAGAGCAAAAAAAAAAAAAAAACAGCGTATCATGTCTAGAGGGGAAAAGTTAAAGATTGGTGGAAAAGAATCTTGCCTTGAGCCAATTTTCTTTCAAGCATTGACAATTGACAGAGTATCCGCTTGTTTGGACCCTGCATAAGAGACAAATGATTGAATGAGTATCAGTAGCTAGCGCCAATACAGAGAGAAAGGTCTGGATTCTAAATGTGATTGTGAATATTCTAGAAAGAAAAATAACAAATCTGATTACAACCAATAACCTTGCTTAGTGCTAGTTTGTAGCAATTCATTGCTGAAAGAAGATCTCCCTTCTTCCAGATAGAGTTACCTAAGCATAGCCAAGCATCTGCAAGAGATGGATTTAACTTAACCTGGAGAATGAATTAGTCAGTTTCAAAATATGAACCACAAAATGACCAATACAGCACAGAAAACTACAAGGACTAACAAGCTTCTCTTGCTTACAGCTTTTGAGAGATGATCTTCAGCTTCTTTTCTATGATCAGGAAACACATCCAATACCTTTCCTCTCAAATATTCACATGTTGCACGATGCATTGGTGTTTTTCTTTGTTCTACAAAAGAACGTATAGCTTTTCATCGGGCTAAATACACAAATAAATGGTATCATAGTGTGTAAATTTCATAGAATATCTTGTTTCTTTTTATTCATGTCCATGAAACATTCATTCTAACAGATATTCTGAAAATAAATCCAGTATAGAAATTTTCACAAATATATCAATTTAAATAAAAATGATAAATAAGAAACTGGAACAGAAATAAGATGAAGGATAGGGTCCATGCAGGGAGTAGAAAACAACACAGATAAGTTCCATTCAATCACTTAAACACCAGATAAACTAGTTTTCCTTTTCCTGACAATGGTGGTGTCAAACCTCTTAAAGCACCCCATAATCCACCACCGGGCACATGCAGTCGCCCAATTACCAGGAAAATCATGTCATCCATGTGCCCTTATAATTATCATCAAGTAAAAGTATCCACACAGTTACCTCTCTTCAATAGAGCGTATGAGGGAAGAGGTAATGAATGTAGCAGCAGGAGTTTGCAACAGATTAAGATGCTACAATTATGTTTTGGGGGCTGGAATGGCTATTAGTAGCAGGAAATGGACCTCAACAGGTGATCACGCCGCAATTGGGCAACCTAAATACATCATGGCTCTGTATGCAGATACTCATTGCCATTATGATGGTAACACTGCTCATTTGAACTAACAAAACCTTCCAATTCTTCGGCTTTCACAAGACATCATGGGGGGTGTAAAAGGTCCAAACCATTGGTCTCACAAAACCTAAATGGGTTGAATAGGTCCATTTCGTTGATTATGCCCAATTTATAACTAAATAAATAAAATACATAAATTAATAATTCTCCAGAAACTTTCTGAATTCTCTGTCAACACAGAAGCAAAAATAAATAAATAAATTCCATGCTTGAGCATTAGACAAAGCAAGGAAAACAAAATCCTGCACCATATTTGAAATTTCTGGCACGAGAAAACAAAAACCTTCATTCAACCGATTCTAGACACCTCTCTAGTTCATTGAGATGATTTACGTTATTAGAGAGCCAAAACAACAGACAATCAACGAGTAAGATACATATGTATATATATGTGTGTGTGTGTGTGAATACATATATGTGTGTGTGTGTGTGTGTGTGTGTGTGTATATATGAGTGTGTATAAATTCATATTTGGGAGTGAATAATGAGTACCTGAAGGTATGGAATCGAGAAGCTTGAGAGCGAGATCTGATTCTGTCTGCAATTTGGAGATTTTGTCATCCGGGTTTGCTGGAAAATAGGTGTCCCGGATGTTGTAGAGATCATCAGCCGCTTTTGCTACTTTGGCCATTGTCTCTTCGGCTTCACCTTGGTTTTGACTACCCATATCTTTCAGTATTCAACACACAACTCCTCGATCAATAATCAGAGCGCGCACACACACGGGCAGGGCTCTGGTTATTGATTATGGGTATTTTCGAAAATGCCGAAATTCCGGCCCAGCACCTCCCTGTAATTACATGTCGTGATTCTCTCTAGCATATTTGTTATTTGCCCACCCACAAAGTATTTGTTTTTTCTTTTTCTTTTCTTTTTTATTTTTTTTCTTTTCTTTTTCCTTTTTTTTTATTTATTTATAAGTCACCCACAAATTTCACGTGAGATCAAATGTAATTAATTTTTTTTAGTAAAAGACACTTTGACCCCTATTTTTTGCCTTTATTATAGTCAGACCTCCCACATTTACATAATTACACTGTTATCCATGTCAGATATTATCATTTATGCTCCCTTTGGCTGGAGGAATGAAAAATAGATGGAAGGGAGAGGATGAGAAATAGATTAGGCATCCTTAGGGAAGAGAAGTTGTCTCCCTCACTTTTTGTTTGGTTGGATGGAACAGATAAGAGAAATGATGGATGAGATGACATTTTTTTGTGTTTGGTTGAAAGGAAGGGAAAGATACCTCATTATTAACATCTCACTAGTTAAAGTGAATTTTTTTGAAAAGGTTAAAAATGAGAATTAAAAATTGTTAATTATTATCCTGTTTTCTCTCTCCTCTTCCCCTCAAAATTGGCCGGATAACAAAATACAAAGGAAGCATCCCTCATTACTTCCTCCCACTTTTCGCTTCCCTTTAACCAAACACAAAAACCTTATTGCATCACTCCTCTTATCCATCCCTCCTCGATCCTTCCCTCGAACCAAACATAGCATAATACAGATGGAACAAATTGGCTATTTTACCCTATTTACCTTTTTTCAATCTAAAACAACACATGTTGAGAAACCTAGGCCTGAAAGCAAGAGAGTGATCAATGGTATACCTTGAACGCTTGAAGATCGACAAAGAGATATCTTCTTGATTGAGAAAGAAAGACATCTTCTGTTAAGAGAAGAGAGTGAGCGATGAGAGAGAAAAAATTTGTTATAAAAGAGGGATTGACTTACATTAGGGTTGGGTTGTCCGTACCTTTTTTAAAATGGCCTTCCACTTCTCCTTGTTTTCACTCCTCTTCACAGAATTCCCAAAACAACTTTTAGTAGTTCTCTGAAAATAGCAACTCTTGTAACCCAGTTTTCATAAAATTGTTCTTCAAAACTACAACCAAATAGGTCAAATTACATGTTTTCTGTTTTTTGTCATTCCCAAAAACAAAAACTATTTTGGAAATTCTAAACCAAGCAGGGCCAGTTTTCATAAAATTGTTCTTTAAAACTACAATCAAGTAGGTCAAATTACCTGTTTTCCGTTTTTTGTCACTCCCAAAACAGAAAACTATTCTAGAAGTTCTAAACCAAGCAGGGCCTAAGTGTTCACAAAATACCCCACAGTCCAACTGGTGTGCTTCGGGGTCGTCACTCCCGAACCCACACGGTTTGTGCACCACCAAAAGGTAGTGGTGTAGAGCTATGAAGAATGTGGCCAAGTTTTACATTTAGAAATTGCCACTACTACCTTTCACTAAAAATTTAGCTAGGGCAAGTAGGGATCGTCCCAAGGGATTAGTGAGTCGTACTAGATTGAGAAATCAAGATTAAGGTTAGTAGGTCGAGTGATCAAAAGATTGGTTGGTGGTTGAATTACACTAAGATGCAATTTAAACTAAAGTAAACAATAATACAATAAGGAGAATAAAATAGAGAGAGATATCTTGGAGTTTAGAAATCACCACTAAGCATACTTTTCTACACCCTTAATGAATGATTAATAAGGGGAAAAATACGCATTACAACAAAGAGTGTGTGTGTGGTTGTTTCAATAAGCATGGATGACAAATTAAGCATATACTGTCTAAGCAACATGGTGGATAGCACAACATATCAAATTAAGCCATTAATCCTTTCTTTAAGCTCACAACCAAACACATCACAATGTTAGAGATATATGTTACTTGCTTTCATAAGTATGAAACATCAACAACAAGCATGGATTGTCCTCCTATTTAACATTTAAACTACAACTACACTACAATTAAGCTAATGACATGAAATTAAACTAATTAAACTAAGGAAGAGGTACAATCCATCAAGAAATGAGTATGAACCATCAAATAAACCACAAGAACATTCCATTAAGCACTATGTCTTGACAATCTCTAGATCTATAGTATTAATACACCTAGACATGCATCAACAACACAAGAAATAGAGACAAACACATGAACATTTATTCTAGCATACATAGACATATGGATAGAATGAAATGATCAATTGGAAGCATTAAACCATACAAATCATTAAATAAACAAGATCTATATATATATAAGTGTCAAAACATGTATCACAATACAAATCCCCTCAAAAATACATAAATCAAGATGTAAAAAGAATGCTTAGGGCTAACTCTGACCCTAAGAGGATGTCTAGCCACTCATGGATGATGTCTTCCAACCCTCAAAGGCAAGCTCCATGGAAGAAATCTAATCCTTGGTTGATGAAGAGCCTCCAATGGTGTCTCTAGCCTCCTCATCTTCTTTGCTTCCTCACTAAGAATTCTCTTCTCTAAGTATCTAAGTATGGTATAAAGTATATCTCAAAAAGTGGCTCATATTTCTTATATAGGTAGGTCAAAAATCACCCCAAATGAGCTGGGCTCGTACACCAATAATCCTCTAATAATTGGATATGAAACAACTTTTAATGAGCTGGAATTTGGATTTTCTCGGGATTTGGGAAGTTCGATCGATCGAACTTGTGGTGAGATCGATCAAACATGGCTGAGATCTATCGAATTAAAGATGGATCGATCCTCTATGGCTGCGCCTTTTTGGATAAAAACAAATCTAAAATATTTTGAAGATATTTTTGGGAAAATGACAAAAGCGGTTGGTAAGGTGGTACAGTTAGATAAGATCAATCATTTGGATAAGGACAAGATGGTTCGATCAATCAGAGAATGAAGTTGGATTGGCTCAGATCCATCTGGAAGTGCTGAGATCGATGAAAGTTGGATCGATCGAACTTTTCTTGAGATCGATCGAAGTTGCTGAAATTTCACATTTTGCTACCTTTTGCTCTACTTTGCTCCTTTCTTTGATTCATTCCAGAATTGCTTCATTTCTGCTCTTGTTTGGCTGAGTTAGCTTATTTTAGGGATAAGTACCTGAAAATGGAAATAACACGAAATCAATCTAGAGTGGCAAAATAAGATAGATAAAGGTTCTAGAATACCTAAACTTAAGGGGTTTAAATGAGCACTTTTCAGTGCTCATCACACCCTCAAACTTAAATATTGGTAGTCCCTATCAATGAACTAGAAAGTAAAGGAATGAAATGAACAACTATACAACTATGAACTAGAAAGCAATAAATGGATAACGTCACTTTCGTAGTGAACACGATTGCATTTAGCGTATGCAACAAGCCTTTTAAACCCCTAGGTTACATCTAGCAGACGAGTGAAGTCTCGTAAGGGTTTCCAGAAATGAAACCCACAAACGTTAAGCTCATTCTTTCAAAAGAGGCACCAATATTGCAAACAAGTATTGGGAGAAAACTACCTCAAGTATGCAATGTTTCAACCCTTTCCAAGCAATCTCCCAAAATTTCAACATCAAGCAAGCAAGCATGGTCCTCCACACATTAAGAAAATGATCATGCAAATCAAAACAACTCTAGAATCCTTTTTGAGTGGATCGGCATCAAATATGTTGCTATCTTAGCCAACTAAAGAAATGATCACATCCTTACCCTCAAACTAGCACACAAATCTAGTACCGATTATCAAGACAAAAAGTGGACCTTTTATTAAAACTTTATTGTTTTAGGTGCGCTTATTCTTTTCACTCAAATTTTTTTTTTTTTTAGGATCAAAGATGGAAGTATGGTGCAATGTGTTGATCTATTAAGCTTTCTAGCGATCCATGAGGTCGAGCGTTAGGTCAATGACTCCCAAACTAGACGACTTTAGGGCACTAGGTGTTCAAACACCCCTAAGGACTTACACGCTCAAATCAACTAGGCTACAAATCAAAACAACCTCCATCTAATCATTTCCCACTTCTCACCTTTTGGGAGAAGTCCTCACTTTTTATTTACTTTTTGTAACTTTTTTTCTTTTCTTTCTTCTTCTTTTTTTTTTTTTTTTGATCAATTGTTAACCTAGAGTTTGGGCCCTCTACCTTTCAGCGCGAGAAGTTCAGTGCTTGATGAGGCTAGAATCCCGGCTACTTAGTAAAAAGGGTTTGTTATCCACCTTTATCAAGAATGAAAGCTTTCAATGCACTACTAGCTCAATTGGGATATAACCAATTCAATAATTAACAAAACATGTTCCCCACAAATGAATGCTAGTGTGCGCCTGTGCTAGTGTAGAATCCTATAATGAATCTCAAAATAATCACAAAATCAGGATGATGTAGACCACAAGTGCAAGCATGATATCAATCTTTCAAAAATTTACTCCTAAATGGCATCAACAAGGCATACAAGGAGTATTGGACTCTCAAGTGAAGCAAATTTTAAATTTTAAGCAATATAGTCCTCATAAGATCAAAATCATAGCTAGTTATGGATCAATCATAGAAAATCCCTCAAATACACAAGTCATGCTCAAAATTTTGAATTTAAAAACAAACACTATAAAGCACCATTACCCCTAAACTTAAATAGCACAGTGTCCTCAATGTGCAAAGAGAACAAAAGGGAAAGAGTATACCAGTGCAACTAAGGTAAAGAATTGCTGGGACAGAAGTATCTAAAGTGGGTGGCATAGCCCCCCCAAACTTGGGATTAACTGTGGTCCTGAAATTTTGGCACTTAGATAAAACTCATCAGATAACAAAAGGGATAATAACAGTGCACAGTGGACATGCAAGTGTAAATAGGATAGCAACTGAAAATAGAGAGAGGTATAAGGGTGGTCCTGAAAATTTTGGGCAGTATTATCTCTCACTAAAGTCATTAGGATGCACCTGATGGAGTCAAACAGATAGATATAAGAATATGAAAATAGGACATCCATAAAGAAAGCATATATAAACCAAAAATAAAGTATAGTACATCCAGTATCAAAGCCGACAGCCACGGCTGCAAAAATAATATAATAATATCAAA